ATAATAGAGAGAAACGGTACAGGTAATGGGTTTTACCTCTCGAACAATACTGCTAGCTGCTGACCAACCTCGTGGGAATGGAGAGCTTGTTTGGTGCGGACGGGATCTGATCCCTTGACTACTGGCCCCATTTAGATCCCCGCAAACGACAGGGCGTGACGCGGCGCTTGGAGTAGAGCGGTCTTCCAACAGTGGCGCCATCCTGAGCCCTTTACATTTGGTGGGAAATCTGCCCTAGCTGCGCTCCAAACTTGTGCCCCTCCTAGTCCATATCAGTTGCGGGAATCATGACTGTACACCACCCACGGGACAGTTTCGCCGCCCTAGTGTCCTTTTACGCCGACACTGTAGGCGTTTTGTTAATCCACTCGGTGTAACATGTGCTATTGTTTTTCCTCTGAATTGACCTAATCGTTGACACACTTGTATTTATCCAGTAACCCTTGAACCAACCTCGCAAGCCTACGCAAGCTTTAGTACATGTGGCACAGTGCCCTCGAACAGTGCCTCTTTGTGCCAGCTCAACTATCTGACAGCAGTGTTACACGAGTTTTTGTTTAATCAGCGAACCCCCACGTATGCGGAAGAATTGCGAAATAACATGCAGTGCTTCTGGCTCCATGACCATGGAATTACTAGTTACGCATGCTTGTGGTCATCAATGCGATTGGTAGCGATCACTCGAGGAGTAGTTGTTAACCAATGTACGAGCCTACGGGTGCGGGTGGCGTGCACGAATTGTAGGGAGGCACAATGCCCCTCCCTCGACGGTAGTTTTTGTGGGGAAAACTGAAAAAACCCTCCAGAAAAAGCACCACAGCCCACACAGTTCATTTCCTTCCGATACTCTTCAACCCTAAGAAGGTAGGACATAGGATGACTCAGCATAAAACAGGGGCGTAATTACGAAATGATGACTCATCTCAAATAAAGGGAGGTCCGCGTGCAATAGTACACGTCATGACACGCCTTCTAAATTTGCTCTCTATAATAACCCGTGATTTTTAAAAGCTTTTGTACGTGCTGCTGCAGTGTAATATTTCCGGAATGTGTTTTTCTATCGTTTGGAGCCTTCATGTCCGAATGGCCTTGGCGAACTAGCAGGAAGGCGTAATACATGGCGCATCTCTTAGTTTTGATTCTTACAAAAAAGCTTCCTTTTTGTCGATACCTAGACACCTTTATGGATTCTTTCAACATATAGCCACTGGAATGAAGGCTCGTCCTATGGTGCGAATTATTAGATTGGACAGTACTTACTAAGTTATCGGAATCGGGTGATTTAATTTCAAAAGTCCTTTTGCGTCACTGATACTAAACGTTGAGTTTATTGTGTTGACATATGTCCTTGCAGACTTTTAGTTTCGGAGTTGTGGATGAGTGCTTAGAATCCAGTTTATTTATACCGATTTAATACATTGCCGTTGGAGAGTCATGCACGTCATACCACGCGTCTTCCATGTGAGAGAGCTCGTCCATATCAGTAATTCACTGGATTTCCTTGATTAATCTTAAAAGACATGTTCCACGACGTTCCGCGTTCCAGTGGTCCTATACCGATCACTTCAGACGGTTTTTATGCTTTTTTTTCTCATCTATCTAGCTTGAATGGAGCCTTCCCTATTTCTCTGTCATTACCCACCATCCGTGCTGTCCTCTAAGAGAAACAGCATTCAGAGTTTTGCGCTCAGGGTAGCAGATAGCTGGTGGAGTGTGGGGAGATAGGGGGTAGCAGATTGCTATTAGAGAGTATAGCGCGACAGAGGGTAGCAGGCAGCTGGTACCCTCCTATCGCGCCATATTCTCTACTAGCAGTCTGCTGCTGGTCGCTGTGGACGCTGGCAGAGGCTAGATCGATATCTATAGTTTCCTGGTCGCTGACGCTGCTGGACGCTTGGAACCTTGGTGGACGCTACTGGGCGCTGGTGGACGCCGCCGTAAAGTGTGAACGCAGCCCAAAAATGTGGAAGAAACAGCCTGCAAACGAAACTCGTTACATTTCCTGGCTTCGCAGGGCTTTATGAAGCCGGCCGAAATGGGTATGTCTACTGGACTCTACAAAATGACTAGGTATATTGAACCGCGCCTAGAATGTGTCCCTTCTACATCACTTCCGCCGTTAGTATCCTTATCTTTTAATTACGGTTTTGCGCCCATTTTGGAGCCGCTAATGGCGCAATTTCTAAGGTTGGGGTCCCAACAGCCTTTTGCGAACCACTTCTTCGTCTTTGCTAATCGTGAATTGTGTCCATGAGTTCAGTGTTCAGTGTGCAAGTGCTTTCACCTTGTATTCTGGCATTACAATTTGCGTTCATTCTTTGAAAATGGTAAAAACCTGCGAGTGGTGAGAATTCAGAAATCCTCAGAACGTGCGAAAAAGGGTTGGTTGGGAGTTGAATGGCTACGCTCACAAACGTCCTCGGATAAGGAATAACGGCAATTTGCTACGGGGGTGGAGTCAGTCGATTCCTACCTAGTTTTTGGTCGCGTATTCTCCAGTGTCGCGGAATCTTTGGATCGAGATCGTCACGATTTATCTTGTGCTGAAAATTATTTCGATTGGGCACTGTGCTCTTTCGCAAATTCTTCATATTTGTTATGTACGAACGCGGTTTTCAGGATTTTTTTTCCTTTCCTAAAACTGCCCCTCTCTCTTCACAAAGCGTAAGTTATTGCCCACTCCTTCTATGGTCCCTTATCGTAACCCGAAACAAGCTCAGTGGATAAGTGACTTACTCGTAGTCACAAGTAGAGCATAAGAGCGGGCTGAGGAGCTCCTGTCCTGCTTCTGATCTGCGAGAGAAAAAAAGACTACCGAAAGCAAAAAGATCTGGGCACATCATCGCTGGGTATTCCTTAGAGGAAGTCATATTAAGTCGGGAGGGGTCGTATTTGGTCTGAGGATAATTGGTTGATAGTTCTTTCTTTCTTTTTCCATTTTTTCATTTCAAATTTTTCTTGTTTCACGGACGCTATAGGGGGGAGGGGGTCGTTGCGGCGTTTGCAGCGTTTTGAATTTTTTCCCGTTGTTGACTTTTCGTGGTTCTTCTCGTTCCACTGGTTCATTGGTACTATATATCCCCTCCCTCTCGACAGCAAAACTTGGGAAAATTTTCGGGAAATCCCAGAAAAACTGAAAAAAGTGGTAGAAAGTTGGGGAATCTAAGAAAGTAGTAGGTAGGATGGGGAAGGGGACGGTGGGGAGTGAGTCGTACGAACTCGAGCAAAATCCCCAAGCAATGATGTGCTCTGAAAAAGACCCCATTTGCGCGATTGGAATAGTCGGATGTTGACTAGGGCGAACAGGGGCGTGTCGTACGTTGGAGACCTCCAGAGGAGGGGGGAGGCTCGGTGGCAAGTTCGAGGAAAAAACGAGAATTTCCGGAAGAAATTTCTGAAAAGTGGTAGGAAGCTGGAAGGGTTTAAGAAGATCGAAAGATGGGGAAGGGGGGAATTACCGCACCGGAGGAGGGAATTTTGAGAGAGAGAGGGGGTCGTATTTTGCAAAAATTTTCCCAATTGCAAGAAGTGTTCTGAACGTGAAAAATGTTGAGGAACTATGCAGAGGAAGACATACACTACTATACGTCGCAGCTTTTTTGGTGAAAGCCAAATTGTCGATAACGGCCGAATTAATCCTGTTCAAAGTGCTAGAGAATCATTGTTTACTCTGGTGAAAAGAGCGTTACCCTTTATGTCCGTTCGGTACTATTTGTACAGGGTCCGCCATAAAAATGGTAACAAACGTCCGAAAACGCGTACAAATTTTCTGTCGCGATTTTTTTTCCATTCCTTTCGCTTCTGTTATGTTCATCGTATGTTTGTGCACACATGCGCCCTTTTTACCCCTGTAAACTTTCGAAAAATGGTAAAATATTTTTCGTATCGCACTGCTACTTCACTAAATACTCGCTTCTAATAGATTATTCTTCTTCGTCGCCTATCCTTTCAACAATTTTCCTCATCGTGGAACGTGAATTTATCAACGATGAACCGCGATTCCTTCGCCCTGTCTATGTTGCAACTCCCCAGCTGAAGATCATTTAATTTTGTAAAGGTCACTTGGTAAAGATCTGTAGATTCCTGAGACCAGTCTGGCTCACTTGCAGTTTGCCGCTTCACATGATTTCACAGGTCTCATTGAAGTGAGTGCTTTTATTCAACATGAACTAACAAAGCGAAGTAGCAAAACTGCAAAATGCCCCATCTAAGCCGTACAGTGCTCAAACTGGTAAAGAAATATGTGGAAAAAAAGTCTGCTGAACTGAAAGTTACTGCCACCTCTTAGAGTTTGTTGTTCGTAACCCAGTAAAGTGTATCCCTCCAAGTTCCCAACCTTACGACGTGCCTGAAAAGCAGAGGGAAGATGTGCGGCATCCTCCCGAGCCTCCCCAACTGTCTTTTCTACTGATGGTGATCGGACAGTGATCGATCCTAAGAACACAACCAGTGGTATAAAACGTCGTGATGTGCTCACTTCATGTCTCTTGACTCCGTCCGACTTACTGGAGAGATATCTAGTATACCTAAAGAGGAAATAAGGCTCAGCTTGAATTACTACGCTTGTTTTACAAGAATACTGAGTTGTGAGGCAAAAGTCGAACCCCAGGCGGGAGTCGAACCGCACCTCACGCTTTCCGGGCGAGTGCGCTATCCGTTACGCCACCAGGGCCGCTTTTACCCTCTCAGCTCAACGGCTTTTATGCCGTAGCCTATCAGCACTCACACGTTTAACTTGGTGAGCCGGTCAGCCGTAATCGTGAGATATTGGCAATGAACCGCTAGGCCGAGCGCTTTACAAGTTTTTTTAGTTTCTACAATTTTCGTTTCCTTTATAGTTTTTTCAGTTTTGGTTTCTTTGCAAGTTATCATATAAAACAGCTTGTTTTACAGTTTTGTTGCTTGTGCATTACCACATCGATGGTGTGCCCTGCATACTCCTTGGCTCTGAAACCATAGAATGAAGTGAACCGATGACTGAGTAGGAATTTGCGGCAGTGGGATTATATTTTCATTTTTCAGGTGCAAGATCGTGCCACAAAGATGGCCTCAGCAGTGAGTAGGAGAGTGCCGTCTGCAAATGAACAACTTCAAGCTAGAATGGCTCTGTTGATGAAGGAAAAACAAACCTCTCCGACACTTAGCTCATCGGTGAGTCGAAACGTCCTCGCGAATTGCCGTTAGCATTTTACGAGTTTTTATGGTAACCGTGAGATTGATGTAGAAGGTGCATCATTTTCGTTGAATTGAAATCCAAGGGGCCGCTCATGGGATGACCAAGAAAAAATGTTCAGAAACCGATAACTCTGGAGCAGATGTACGGCCATCGGCGTCCAGATGTGGTCGGCTCGGTTGCTAAAGGAGAAGCAAGAACGGCACGAAACAGCTTAGTATCGGTATGCTTGTTACGCCTGTTTTACATACATTTCTTTTCGCTGCGGATGCTAGGACGTGTCAGGGGGAAGGGAGAATGGGTTGGCGCCACGCCAAACTGTGCCCTTCTGACACGCCCACTATTCGCAGATAGAAGTGTACACTGCCCTTCCGTTGGTTGTCAGTGCATCTTTTGCAGGGTGGTCAATCCGCTGCGATTCCAAAGCTGCGGGATCCGACGAACAGCAAAATTCCTTTTTCGCTGCGAGTCAATTTTTTGAACAAGATATTCTCGCAGTACTTGGAAGTCTGTCCGGAAGTGGAAGCAGTTAGAAACGTGAGTCGTTTAGTCGAGTTTCTTTGAATAGGCTTGGTTACCCTATCCTCAGGGGTATAAAATACACTTTTGCCGAAAACGTCGCGAAAGTTTCGCGCGAAAAAAGAGGTGGATCTGTTTTGGGATCACGAAGAATTTCATGAGTAGCTGGTCAAATGTGAAACTGTGATGTTTTTATCACTATGCCCGAGCACAGTATCCACCTCGCGCTACCCCGCCCGGCCAGACATGCGCCTAAAATAAGCTAATAGCCAAATAAGCTTCGTCTGCCCCCTCCCCCCACCTAGCGCTGCTATCTACCACAGAGTGCGAGTTTCGCTGGGAATCCTGAAATGGGCGCAGAAAGTAGCACTTTACTGCAGCTGCTGACCGTTCAACTTTCAACTCGCACAAAAGACAGTCTTCCGAGGTGCGTGCACGGTCTGTCTTTGAAAGCGGAAGTTCACTCTCAAGGGAACAAAAACTCGTTGGAACCCTTGACCCTTTGCTTCGTGCGGCATTTAATTTCTGATCGCAGTTCATTTATAACATGAGGCTCGTTATTGCGTACATACTCTTCATACTCGTTATTTTTGCACTCTTTCATCTGCCTTTTTCTTCCGCTGTGATTGAAGCACATTTCCTGTTGATTGGCACTTTCACTTGTCTTAACGAGCTGTTCGTAGAGCTCGTTCGTAGAGCTTCAGCTCAGTTCGACGACGGGAAGGGGGGCTTTCTGCCCGTTTGATACTTCCCTTCGACGTATATCGACGCATCTGCACTGCCTCTTCTCGAATTAACAGGTTTTACCATGATCGCTTAACGAGCTTGCTTCCACCTGCACAAGAGTTCACAGGTTTCACCAGGGTACTAATTGTAAACCGGAACTAGCGAAGCAACGAAAGTGCAGATCCCCCCCCCCCTCTCTGTCGCCGAACTGCGCCGACAGCTTCTATAGATAGGACTCGGACTCGAAACGTCCTGTAACAGGCCGTATGAGAACGTACGCATGAAGTTCACTGGATGTGTATTGAACCCTGTTCAGAGCATCCAGAAGCCTTAGGTATCTTAAAGGGTCCAAGGAGGCGAAATCCACTCCTGTCATCTCAAACCTGCCACGATTTTGGTTTTATTTTCCTAGTATAGTGTCACTTAGCCAGACGGAAAATCAGCTTGGTTGAATAGACGGCTACTATTTATGGAATCGCTACACGCCTTTGCAACCGCCATGCTACATATGCTCGCTTGACAAATAAAGGACTAGGAATAAAGCGTATGGCGCTATTTTTAGTAAGTAGAGGCTGACTGCGTCGTTTGAATTCGCAGAGGCAATGGATATGGCCCATGCAACGAATTCGGAGAGTAGCCATTGTGCACGCCAATAACACCTGCCTACCACTTTTCTCACTTTCCTACAAGTTTCCGGCTTCCTGCCAGTTTTTTACCCGAAAATTCTCCGAGGGGGGGGGGGAGGTATACATGAAACGGGAACACATTCAACAACCGGGAAAAATTTGTACACCGAGCGGCAAACCTCGCCTGACTTGACCCTTTGAGGAGGCTTGTTTGATCTTTCCGGGACCGCATACGTTTGACTCCCCTACCGCCTAGGTGGTGAACGACACCATTTGCCACAACCTCACCTCGGCCCCTTCTGAGAAGACGTGCTGGTAATTCTGTTCTGAAATGATGTTAGGTGACATCACGGGGCCATTCAAAAGACTAACTCTGCGAAACTGGGATTCCCGCAACGGGTATAAAGGCTGTCTAGATCTGTAGAGAGAAGTTCCATAGTTGATGGACCGTAACGTTATTTCCATTTCTGCATAACGAGTCCTGAGTATGCTCCTCTCCCCCACCCCAAACGTTATCAGCTCTTGATCGTGTATCTGAAGAAGTTGTAATAAGTATTCAGTACCTTATTTGGACGCAAGCTGGACCTTACCCCTGAGGGCCATTCTTTCCATGAGCAAGGTAAATGGGATCGCAGCTGCTGTAGAGTGCCACTTTATCCGCTCAAAAATGCACGCAGACGGGGCTAGAGGGTAGTGATATCTGGGTGAGATCTCCCATACTCCGCCCGCGCTATCCTGAATGGCAGCGTTGGCGTCAGTACCAAGATTCCTCAGCGAAACGCCTACTCAGTGGTAGAGAACACCAGAAAAAGAGAATGCGAACAAGGCGCGCGTTTGGCTACGGCTAGGTGCCTGGCCGGCCGTGCAGCAGCGCGACCGGAGTAAGGAGACGGCTTCCGATATCACCCTCCTCACCCCCTTTCCACTGCACTTTTGACCATAAAAGGTGACACGCTACTGCAGCTACAGGCATTCTAATCCACTCATGGGATCCACGGAAGTTATTGTACAGTTTTTCTTCGAAAAGCTGCCATCAGCCCACGAAGAAATTCGCTCAGATCACAGAGATCCCCATTATTCGACTTCCTTGCAATTTTGGCCTATGATGATCTTTGAAGTGTATCTTCCTTTATCTTCATCTTATGAGGATGGAACGTTCAATTTTTTGCATTCAACTTGTTTGGCAGTTCCCTCGCACTAATAATTATGTTGGTTTTACAGTCTGAAATCGAAGAGAAGGCAATTCTCGACAAAGTCCGCCATGCTCAGGGCTATAAAGTGGCAGCAATCAATTTGATCGGGCGGATTCGCAATGCCAAATCAACTGGTCTCAGTAAACCGAGAGCAGGTAAAGAGCTCATCAACAAAACAAATTATTACGATGTATTTCCTCTTGTCAAATACTTCACTTTTTGTTCATTTAATCAACAAAGGAAACAAAGGATTATTTGGCAAATAGTGCATGAAATCGATTGTTATAGCGTCAATGCAAATTCTAATATTTTTTGGTACGCATATCCTCTCTTAAATTCTTTGAAAAATTCAGAGTCTTTTCTGAATCTGAAAATTTTTCGCTCTTTAATGACAAAAAATAATAAGGGGATTGTGGCTTAAATAATGTAGTTTTGTTAGTTCGGCTCCGATTGCAGCTAATCCAGTCTGTCTTGACAAAATGAAGCAAAACATTTGGATTCTGACAGAGTACAAGGTTGGTACGTATTGTACCTATTGTTTGAGGGCACTGATGGTACCATGTACATCATCTAACTTTATGCTTTCATATGTGGAAAATGGTGTGGGGTCTGCGTGTTTTTACTGTGTGGTCTTTGGTGATTTAACCTTCACTGTCAGGGGCGCTGTTCGGCTTGGGGGGGGGTGGAGGGAAGGAGTGGGGCCGTTTTAGTATGTTCTTCTACCGTTAGCTGTTTTGACCACTTCTGAACTTACAGATCCCACCTTTGTGACCGGTAAACTCTTGTCAAGTGTGACTCATGCTATTGCACAATTTACCAGAGATTTGCAGGTCTCCACAGAAAGTATTGGTAACAAAATGCCCCATTAAGCCGAACTGCGTCCTCTCAGACATTTCCTAACGCTGATCTCAATTCTGTTGAGCATTTTTTGGCGCTGACGCCATATGATCCCACAGATATGTATGTCGGCGTCGACTTGGCGTCAGGCTTTCCCTTTCATTTCGTTATTGGGGGGGGGGGTCGTATTTGGGCTGAGAAAAATTTATTTTGATAGTTGATTTTTCTCGCTTCATGGACGTTGTAAAGGGGGGGGGGGGGAAGAGGAGTCGTATTTACTTTTTGGCCTTCTAGGAGTGCTTGGGAGATTTCCCTGTTTCATAGGGAAGTTTTCGGGAAATTTTGGAAACAGCAGGAATTCGGGGAAAATCTGAGAAATGAGAGGGAGGTGGGTCGTATTGTTTCGTGGCTTTTCTTGTTTCTTATGTGACATGTGCTATTTACCACCCCCCTCTCACCCCCCCCCCCCCCCATCGCTCGACGGCTCGATTCGATGAGGAGGGACAGAGGGCAGGGGGGGGGGTCGTACCAATCCCCAAAAAAAGGAGAGAAGGGGCTCGTACTGACTCGACTAAAATCCCCAACCAATAACGTGCCCTGGCTGAGATTAGTTCGGGCATCCGGTCACGAACTTGAACTGATTTCTGGATTTTCTACACAGCAAACCATCTATTGTTCTCAGCAAGTGATCCATAGCAGCACTCCGAACTGCAGTGGTGATCGTTGCGCCTGTTTCCCTCTAACAAAGTGCTGAAGAGAAAAGTGCAAGTGCGGGTCGTGCTTTTTCCGTTGGGTTGCCGTCAGCGTTTAGCTATACCCACGCGATGGGATAAGAAAAGCAATACATAAATTGTCGACTCTCTTGCAGGCCATAAAACCCATGACTGTGAGTCAATAAAATACTAAATTCTAGTCTGGAAAAAGTAATCCTGCGATTATGCGGTTCGTATTTGAGCTCCCATTTACCGAATTTTTGTTTGCTCATCATTCCATTTTGATTACTCAACCCTAAAGTTTGCTTTATTTGGTTTTTTTGTCTGACTCAATTGATCTTTTAGAACGCATTTCGGTTTCGAAACCGGCTTCTATAGTGAGCAAACAACATTTTGGCAAACGCTCCTTGCCAGAAAACAGATTCGCAGGGGTCCTGAACTATGAGCGCTTCTTACTGCACGTCGCACCTTTGATTCGCTCCAGTTTTCCGGTTTTACAGATTGTGACTTTTCAGCAGGGTGATACATCCCCGTTGGAGATACCCTTTGAGCTTATCAGGTGGGCGGGGACAGAAAACGACGTCTCCCTCGCCTTCTTGGCGATGAAGCTGAACGACCGAGGCCGCGCCAATGGGGACAGGCAAGGCAATCATGATTTTCGCGCCGTCGCGATGCGGCGTTTTCCGGTGACCGTTGGTCTCTCTTTTTTCAAGCGCCGTTTACTGTCACCATAGACCAGAAGCCCTTTCTCATAACTCGTCGGTTGTGAGCGCGACGTCGCCGCTCCTTAGCGCGGCCAGTTGTAATTGCCTTGTCACTCCCGCCATGACGTCGTTTCCTGGCTCGGCCCACTCGGCAATCGCGGGTGACGGGGTCTTCGAGTCACTGGTTGGAATAGTGTGAAACTTGCACTACTCATAAGGACCAGTCTTGAAAGAGCATATGCTGTGCACTATTACCATAATTTTTTAGGCTCTTTAAGATACAGGTTTCCTCTTTGTATAATGTCTGTCCCAGTACTGCACGAGTCTGCGCAATAAGATTTTGTAATAGATATTGCTCCGCAGTACCATAATACTTCGCTATCCAACACACAGACTGTGTTTATGCTTTGCGACGGATAAAATAAGAAACCGGCGGATGTATAACCGCGCATTCCTCCGAATCGTCTATACGCCAATTCGCTTATTCTCCTGTTCCTACGTAGAAGGCTAATGCGTTGCCACAGCGCGAGCGGGGGCACTCCAATGGATGCTTGCGCAAGTTGCAAAAGGCTGTTTTTACCTCACGTTCATTTCGAGGAATTTATTGGCCCATTCCAGCGACTGGAGGAAAAGGGGCATTTTACACTTTTGCTGATTCCCGTTGACATGTCGAGCCATCAAGTGGATATGTGTGAAATATTGTGAAACCACGTAAAGTTTCCAGCCAAGTTTGTAGAAACTTGTTAACTCTTGTAAATAGTACCTGTCAACTCTTGTCATGAGTGAAATGCCATAAAAATAGCAGTTACCATGGTGTCCCGACGAGCTTGCCCCAGCTTCACAATAGTTCACAGGTTTCACCAGAATAAGACTTGTAAACCGTTACATCGATCAGCGAAAGTGCAAAATCCCCCTCTGTCTTCGCCGAACTGTGTCGAATTCATATGGCACAGAGATCCTCAACAATTAACCATTCTTCTACAGTTTTTCTTCACGTTTATGCCTAATGTTTTGTTCTCACAGTAGGTTCTGCTCCAAGTTATCTCGACTCGGATGATTGAAGTGGTCTACCTGTAGAGAGTGTTTAGACTCCACATTATCCTTGTTCTAGGCTCCTTATGTTGAATGTTCGATTACTTCTGCTAAACGACGTTATTACATGAATTGACCCTTTTATAGGCCTAGTGTTTCGACCTTCTCCTCCTCTTCAAAATTTTGAAAATGGCTCCAAGCTTCTAATTTGTCACCTACCCGGCCAAACGCCTTCCCCACTTTAGCGCCTCCGACGTCGTGTCCCGAACGCTTCCGAACAACCCAGTAATAACTGCAGACAACTCACAGAAGGTCCCATCGTGCGGAGCCTAGCTCACGTTGTGTGTTGGTATGACTGGTAGGGACGAATAAGACTCTCTAGAGTCTCACTAAGCGAGACGATGACACTCCAGTAAGACTCATTAGCCCATACCCTACTAACGCACTGAGACGTTTACGGGGCTGTTGTCAACCAGACGTGCTCTCGCTGCGAGGGTCCAGGGGTATTTTCACGAGGCATCTACCAGTCCAGTAGTTGGAGGGAGAAGGTAAAGGAGGAGGGATCAGAGAAGGAAGGAAGGAAAAGAAGGAAGGAGGAAGAAAAAATGAAAGAGAGGAGAGGCTTCCCGGTTGACAAGTGCCCTGAGACGGCGTGACGTAGGCTTCGCACGCTAAAACCTTCGGTTTATCGTTGGTAGCTATAGGCGGGCTGTTCAGAAGCGTTCGGGATAGGACGTTGGAAACGCTAGAGTGGGGAAGGCGTTTGGTCGATTAGGTGGCAACTTAAAAGCTTCAAGCTATTTTCAGGCCTGTGAGAAGGTCGAAACGTTAGGCCAGTGAAAGTTTTCATCAAGCAACCTCGTCTTGACAAAAGCAATCAAACATTCAACAGTGTTGACAGCCTTTTTGTCGGCCGCCTGATTATGACAGGAAAAACAATAACATCCATTTGGGGGCACTGCGCGGACGATGGAACTCGAGTTGTCCTCAAAAAGTTTAGCGCTGTGAATACCACGCGAAGGGCATAAGGTGTGACAATAGCAGTCCCCCTGCATGCCCCCAAAGTGCATGGCGGGCGCATGACCATATACCAACGATTTTTTAATCTCGTCGTATTTTAATAAAATTATACCGTTGTCGAACTGCTATACGTGCCATATTATGTAGGGGTGTAGGTCTTGTTATTCCGCACTTTACTTTATACTGAACGTTTTGTATAGTAATTACTCTTAGTGCGTCGAAGAACATATGAGTCAAATTTCCATTTAAAAATATTCCGCTGTAGGATTATTTAAGTGACGGCAGTTGTGTACGAACGCGTTTGAACTCCGCGATGGGTTTTCGTGATTATCCAAACCTGGTATTGCAACAGAAACAACGGTACTGCCGCAACAACCAGTTGTTCTGGCCTAAATATCGTAAACTTGGTTGGTTGATTGTCTGACGCATTCGTGTATTGGGAAAATTTAAATTTACTTGAACTCAATATTTCTTATTCGCTCGATTTTTTTCACTAAATAGTTCTTCCTGAAGAGAAATTTCCATTTTCATCAGTTACCTTGTCGACGGTTTCTGAAGATTTGCTTCTTGCAGCCCTCTCGCATGATGCTGTTCTTGCCGGCCGCCATGTGAACGACATATCCGTACGGGTCCGAAAAGCCGAAAAACAAGGCGTCAGTCCGCTCACCGAAAAAGAGTTCTATAATATACTCATTGAAAAGTATTTGATGACAGATGAACAGTTAATTAGAAATGGGTGAGTTTAATCCAAATTGATTTCCCATATTCTGTTTGAGCAAAAATAATTTGTGTTTCGTTAGGTATCCACGAGCTGTACCGGGTGATGAGCAATTGGTAACAATTGCACCAACTCATTTTGAAATGTCTAAATCGCAGAAGTCATGGGCAGCAAAAGACGGTAAGTAGTGTTAGATGCTTTTGAACTTCTTATGTAATACCATTGTCTCCCGCAACTCTCAAGCTGCGATCATACTTTGCGTCTGCGTTTTGAGCGTACGCCAGCGTTTTAAGCGAATGCCTTCGAAAGTTCAAAACTACCCGCGAAAAGCGCAAAAGCCAAATCAATACCTGTACTTTCCTAGACGCTCAGAACGCTATCATACACCGAAAACGCTGACGCAGTGTATGAAAGCGGCCCACACGTTTCACAATCATCTCACGAGGTGGAGTCGTTTTCGCACATAAGATTCGCTGTTCCATAGCCACATAAATATGTATTTTTGCAATTTACAACTAGGAAATTGCCTGTCAAGGACGCCACGGGCTTATGACCTGTCTGAGACTCCACCCACTCACTCCTCTGTTGAATGAGGATAAAATGTACGTCATGACGTGAAGTAAATTGAATTAGCGAGGAAACTCTTCGAGAAATTCTTCGGGATGAGCCGAGGTGACGGCCTTATTGATTTTTTGACTTAATATCAGAACTTCTGGACAACTCGTCCTGATGCTTGAACCTGTACAATCTTTGAAGTGGTCTTTGTACGTTCTCGACAGGGGCTTCATATTTATCTCGCGCTATGAGCCTTTGGATCTACCGTACTGGGAACACTTGCTGCTTCTTCTTTATGTTGATCCTATTGGAATTTTGTAGAAGTATTATAGATCTCGAGCGCCTATGTTCAAGATGTCATAAGGAGTTTCGTCTGGATCCCAAGGGCAATGTAGTTCCTGCTGAATGTATTTATCACTTCAAAGGACTTCAGAGACGTGGAGGTGAGCGCTTTTGTGCTTTTTCCTTTTTCTAACGTTTTTTTCTTTTTTTATCCATTCTTTTTCTTCTTTATTTGCCTGTCCTTCTTACCTATTTACATGCTTTTGTTTACTTTCTTTGTTATTTCTTTCTTAGTATCTTTCACATTGTTGTTGTTGTTGTTTATTTGCTTACTAGACTGTATTTGATCCTGTGTAAATATTTAGCTTTTTATTTGACAGGTATGCGAGGAGAGTCGTACTTTTCGTGTTGCGGTGCAGACCGCAATACGCCCGGATGTTGTGTAGCAGAAGCCCATGTTTCTGATACCTTGAATGCCGAGGCTCTGCGCGAATTCACACCTACACCCCCTTCACGAGGAGAAGATGATCCAAGAAGTGAAAAGGTTCGTTCACGATGGTTAAAGGCACGCCCCGCATTCAAAAATACGGATGTATGTAGCTCAAATACCATTGACAATTTAGAAAGTGATTCAGTAAGGGGGGAAAAGCATAAATACTGCCTTAAACCTGAAAAGCCTGTATAGAGCGTCAGTGAACCGTGTTTAACCGAGTTCTCAGTTGTTAGTGCCAGCTCTTTCTCCTTACCTCTGACCATCGGAAATGGAGAGAGTTAGAGCGGAACAGCCGCACCACCAGGAAGTGTTTGGAAATGAAAGTTGGGCGTCGCCGCCGTTACTGGGCGGAGTCGTGGTTCCATCGCAAGCCGGCAGCGCTTTCCTCACGCATTTAGCTGCACAAGTGCTACATTCTCCATGTTTGCAACTAAGGCTACCAAATCGCCGGAGGACGCGGGGCGTGCCTTTAATACTGTTGATATTGTTTTTTAACTACAGTTGTATTATCTTTACAGGTGTATGCCATGGATTGCGAAATGGTCTACGGTGTTTGGGGCCCAGAATTGGCCCGTGTATCTGTTGTAGATATGGATAACAAATTAGTACTCGATCTCATTGTTAAGCCTCATAATAGAGTAATCGACTATAATACACGGTTCTCTGGTCTGACGGCTAACCAAGTTGAAGCATCTACAATCGATCTCTTCGAGGTAGGTTTCCTGGGAGACGGACAAGACAGTTGTAAATTGCCGCGCCGCGGTGTGCGGTGCATCGTGCGCGGCAGATGCTCGATGTGCATCAGTTTGTCGATTGAAACAGCGAAACTCGTGAATATTCAAGCAGGCACGGGACTCCACTCCTTGTCATCTTTCCCGTCCATTCAACATTTCAACGGCCGACCAGGCTATCTCGTTTTCCGCGTGTGCGACATCGCTCGCCCAGCCCAGCGGGCATATTACGATTGTCTTGTCTCACAACAATATTTCTTCGAAGTTTTTTCTAGTTGCTCGAGCATTTTCTTGACGATCTGAAGTGATTTTAGGCACAAAATCGTCTATTCGAATTAGTGAATGAGCAAAGTATATTGATTGGACATAGTCTGGAATCAGATTTGAAAGCAATGAGACTTCGTCATGAAAAGGTCGTTGACACAGCCGTTGTCTATGAACACAGGTAAAGTAGCAAGTTTACTATCAAAAGAATCAATTATTTTTACGTTATGCCCTCATAACCGTGGACTTGTGCCAACAGCAAAGTACAGCCCTTTTTGTTTATTTGTACTTTTACACGCGCAATCATTCTCAGTTTCCGTCCAATCCCTGACGCGTTAATCCCAGCAACGCGCCACATGTACGGTTACATGTAATCGCGTGCTAAACGGCTTTTTTTCAATTAACGGAAGAGAGATCAACGTGCACAAACCCGATATTTTGTGGGTTTAGGCTGGAATCACCTGATCTGAAAATTAAAAGTGGCAGATAAAACGTGAGATAAACACAATGACACTATCAACACCATTTAGCAGAGACTTGTTACCAACTAAGTTAGGTCTAATGGCGTTACGGATATTGTCTTCATGTAACTTACATTCAAAATATTCTCTTTTTGTTCTGATACCATTTCTGAGATGTTTATGGCGACGATGTTTCTTCACATGTCCTGGAGGGAAAACTGAAATTAGCGAAAGTTGGTGTGTTTTATGCTAGCCAACGGCGCGATTCGAAATGGTTTACTTACTGTATCAAGCATTGCGAGAGTGAAGCGTCGTGAGTGAATCACTTTATGAGATGCGGAAACCGTTTTCACGTAAATACGAAAGACAAACTGATTACATGCAAACCACATTTGACACACCTAACATGGTTGGAACTGTAACCCTCCTCTAGCGCCTAGGCCACAAAGCTAACTTCCATCCGATTGAATATTTAGATTAGATGAATAAATAACCCACCTCAAACAAAATATGAAAATTAAATAGATATAATAAAATTATTTAAAGTGCTCGGCGTTCATAGAAATGTCAGTGATCCTTTTCTAGCTGCAGGTATTCTCACTTCATACAAATGAATATTAACCAGTGAGCGCTATAAATTTTTTTCCACAGAGTTTTCTGCGTAATAAGGAACATATCGAACGTATATTTCTGTCTTGAGGCAGGGCATATGGTGACACAGTGGCATGACACTGCTCACCATGCCTCTTTGCAGGAATGAAATCCCCAGTAAGCTACCTCCCAGGTCGACTTAAGCCATTCTCTTATCATATCTAGGTCTATCTATCTATCTATCTATCTATCTATCTATCTATCTATCTATCTATCTATCTATCTATCTATCTATCTATCATCCATCTATCTATCCCTTTCTGCTTTCTCTATCATCCGTCGACATCTGCTCTAGGGCCCTGAACTGGCCCAGAACCCCCTCGCTAGAAAGGGATTGAAGTACCAACGAGGCGCTTGCGCGTACCTCGTTTCATTGTAAACGAGTGCCCATTGTAAGTCATTGTCACAGCAATTCAATCCCAATTTAATCAATATTTGCAAGTTATCATTTGGACGCTACATCCGTGGATCCTGGTCCTTACCACATGGGAGTGAATAGGTACTCAGCTGCAGTAGCCACATAGGAACGGGGCTAGAGGCTAGTGCTTCTCCGGTGTTGTGTTCCGACTTCGCTCGCGCCGCCGCACGGCCAACGATACGCCAAACCATAGGCAGACGCGCTCCTTGTTTGCTCCCTCTCACTTTTGCTTGTTTCTTTCTCACTTTCTTTTGTCACACAGCGAACTGTTTTCTACCCCTTACTGCGTGCTCACTGCGAGATTTTAGTATCCAAACAAGTGTTGCACCCTAATGATGCTTCGGAACCTTGAATCAAGCTAACTGTTGGCCTTGCCGCGTTTTTCTGGTTCTGCTGCATTTTTTGGTTCACGGATCATTGAGGTCCACTCAAATCTGTCGCTGTTTGGCTGTGGGTCCCCGCTTTGTATCTACTGATTTCGAACGACGTACAAATAAGCAAAGGAATACAAACTTCGCAGCTTCACTTCTGCTTGTTGGCACAATTCCATAGCTTTCATTCAAAAGCGATAACCATGAAGTGCTTTTCCACTCCACCTATTAGGGTGTCACATTAGCCCCATTATCTAGGACGCAATTTAGGCAGGGATTCCCTTTCAAACGAGCCTTGCGAAATCTTGCCAGTGAGTACCTCCACAAGATCATCCAAGAGGATGGTAAGTTTGTGTATTGTCATATGTTTGCAAGTACTGATGACATTGAATAAGACTATTTGCTTATAGAAAGCGGTCACGACAGCCAGGAAGATGCTGCCACTTGTATGAGTTTAATGCTCTTAAAAGCGAAAGACGACTACAAGTGACTGTTGTCACGTTTCTGATAAACTGCTCGTTTCCTCAAGTGTTCTTTCATGGTTTACGTGACTTCAGTGGAGTACATTTGTCTTATTTCTTTGGTAACCAACTCGCTGCGGTCTCGTGGATTAATCAATGCTACAGTTTTGCTCGTTCCTTCGTGACCGTTCTGTATTATACGTGTCTTTAATATTGTGCATGCTTCTATAAGACCTATCACGTTTGTTAATTTTGTTCCTAGTCGTGTTCATTTTGTTATATCAATAAATGATTCAAAATTTTCGTATTGCATAACCAAATTCAACGGCGGTGCCGGACACTATTTTTAGTCAACTCGAACTTTCGGGCGGCTTATTCCATGTCTGTTTTGTTAAAGTTGTGTTTTGGCGCTGGTATAGTATAGGTACGCAGTCTGGTATTTTATCAAGGGATATATGACGTGTCATTGACGTCACATAACACGCAAATGACGTGCATCGAGACGTCATTGATAATGGTGCAACTGAAGATTCTTCGCCATTGAAGTGTTATAAGACACCTTGTGTGAGGCAGTGTTCGGACATTCACGATGATCAGGGCACATCACTGGTTGGGGATTTTAGTCGAGTCTGTACGACCATAGAACGCATGAAACAGGAAAATAGTCAACCGCCACTCCCACAACGCCACCCCCCCCTCCCAAAAATGATCAAATACGACCCCCTCCCTTTACAACGTCCATGAAGCGAGAAAAATCAACTATCAAAATAAATTTTTCTCAGCCCAAATACGACCCCCTCCTGGCGACCAAATGCGATCCACCCTCC